GTCAGTGAAAGGGTAATATCCATACACCTACAAGGAAGACCAAGCAGTCAATTCTAGTATTATTCAAATTTACAAACCAACCACTAAAGCCAAAGATGAAGAAATTAAAGATTTATACCAACTTCTGCAGTGTGAAATTGACCAAACTACAATCCAGATGTATCGCTTATTGCTTGTGATTAGAATGTGAAAGTTGGAAACAAAGAGGAATCATCAGTATTTGGAAAATATGGCCTAGTGATAGAAATGATGCCGGAGATCTACATGATAGAATTTTGCAAGAGCAACAACAACATTGCAAGACCAACATTGCAAATACATTTTTCCAAAATAAATGGCAGCTATATATGTGGACCTCACCAGATGGAACACACAGGAATCAGATCGACTGCATCTGTGGAAAAAAACAATGGAGAGCTGAATATCATCAGTCAGAACAAGGTCAGGAGCTGACTGTGGAACGGATCATCAATTGCTCATATGCAAGTTTAAGTTGAAGCTGAATAAAATTAAAGCAAGTCAATGAGAGCCAATATACTACCTGAATTTGGAGACTATCTGACAGATTTGATACTATGAATACCATTGACTAAAGAACAGAAGAGTTGTGGGATGACATCAAGAACATCATACATGAAGAAAGCAAAAGCTCATTAAAAAGGCAGGAAAGGAAGAAAAGACCAAAATGTCAGAAGAGACTCTGAAACTTGCTCTTGAATGGAGAGTAGCTAAAGTGAATGGATGAAATGATGAAATAAAAGAGCTGAACAGATTTCCAAGGGCAGCTCGAGAAGCAAAGTAAAGTATTATAATGAAATGTGCAAAGACCCGGAGTTAGAAAACCAAAAGGGAAGGACGTGCTTGGCGTTTCTCAAGCTGAAAGAAGTGAAGAAAAAATTCAAGCCTTGGGTTCTAATATTTAAGAATTTATGGGCAGAAAATGAGTGACTGTACCAAAAAGAATCGGTCAACATTCAACCACTTCAGGAGGTAGAATATGATCAAGAACCGATGGTAGTGAAGGGATAAGTCCAAGCTGCACTGAAGGAATTGGTGAAAAACAAGGCTCCAGGAATAGACAGATGAGCAATTTCAACAAATACATCCTAACCAATTAGAACAAGGAGGAATATCTGAAGGACCCAGATTATTCACTTGGTTAACTTCTGTTATTCTTGCACACCACGGTAACTGTGAATGGCCATGTGCAATAAACCCAGAATGAGAATAGTATGGCTATCAGTGATTCATGTCCCTCAGTAATAAAGCTTTTGGTCACACCACCAGGTAAGCTACGAAGATTTTTCAAGGGATAATTAAGTGTCTCAGCTATTTAGTACTGCTGTAACAAATCACACCACACAAGGGTGGATTTACAGAACAAGGCTGAACAGAAGTTTTCAAAGGATAGCTTGAGAAGCAAAGCATTATAATGAAATGTTCAAAGACCTATTATTAGAAAACTAAAAGGTAAGAACATGCTTTGCATTTCTCAAGCTGAAAGAACTGAAGTGAAAATTCAAGCTTCAAATTGCAATATTGAAGGATTCTGTGGGCAAAATATTAAATGATGCAGGAAGTATCAAAAGAAGATAAAAAGAATACATAGAGGTACTATACCAAAAAGAATTGATTTGTACCAAAAATACAAGTGGACCAATAAGCAACATCATTATAAGCAGAGAAAATATTCAAGTTATCAAGGATTTAATTTTCCTTGGATCCACAATCAACACTCATGGCAACAGCAGCCAAGAACTCAAGCAACATACTGCATTGGGCTAATGTCCTGCAAAATACAGTGTTAAAAAGTAAATATATCATTTTGAATATGAAGGTCAACCTGACCCAAGCCATTATATTTTCATTAGCCTCATATGCATGTGAAACCTGAACAATTAAAAAGGAAGACCCAAGAGGAATTGATGCATTTGGATTAAGGTGTTTGCAAAGAATATTGAATATTCATGGACTGTTATAAGAATGAACAAATCTGTCTTGAAAGGGGTACAGCCAGAATTCTCCTTAAAAGCAAGGACGGTGAGACTTTGTCTCATTTACTTTGGACCTAATATCAGGAGAGACTAATCTGTGAAGGACATCTTGGAAAATTAGAGGGTGAGCAAGACCCTCAAGAAGATGGATTGCTATCATGGCTACACCAATGGGCTCATGCACCTACTATTGTAAGGATGCACAGGACAAAGTTTCCTTCTATTATACTGAGGGTCAGTTATATTATGAGGGGTCTGTTATACTATGAGGTGTCACTTGAGTCAGAAGCAGCTTGGCAACACCTATCAGCAACAACAGTTTTCCACAAAACACTCAACCATAATTCAGACAAGTTCTTTTCTACTTTATAACAAGGATAATGTTTCTTCCAGGATCCAACACACATTCATCATTTTCTTTTAAAATTTCATCAGAAGCATATTTAACGTTCACATTTCTGGCAACATCTCTGCTCAAGGTGATAGATGCTTTCCTCATAGCTCTCAGTTCTTTCTGAGTCCTCATCAGAATCACCCTTAAGTCCATAATTCTACCAATATTCTCTTCAAGGCAATCTAAGTTCTTCCAGTCTCTACCCGTTATCCATTTCCAAAACCACTTTTAGGTATTTGTTAAAGCAGCACTCCCACTCCCTGGTACCAAATTCTGTCTTCATACATAATAAAATATACCACAAGTGTGAGACTTCAGAGAACAGGATTTTTTTTTTTTTCCTCACAGTGTGAGAGGCTAGAAATCTATATCAGAGCCTCCGCTCTAGGGGAGGGTTCTTCTCTGTGAGTAGCCCTGAAAGTTCCTTGGAGTTCCTCTGTGTTCCTTGACATTTGCCTGGCCTTATGTGTGTCTTTGTGTCTATTCTGCTTTTTTTTATAACTCATAAGTGATTTGGTTTAGAACTCACCCTACTCTGAGCATGGGAGCGCTGGTGGTGTAGTGCCTAAGGCATTTGACTGCTAACCAGAAGGCTGGCGGTTCAAACCCATCAGCCACTTCTTGGAAGGAATACTGGGCAATCTACTTCCTTAGGGAGACTGCCTTGGAAACCCAAGGAGGGGTTGCTATGAGTCAAATCTGACTCGACGGCAGTGAGTTTGGTTTTTTTTTTTTTTTTGGTTCTACTCTGGCTTAACCTCATTAATCAAAAGAAAGAAAACCTCTAATTCCAAACAGGGTCATATTTACAGGTATAGGAGTTGGGATTTTAACAAATATTTTGTAGGGACACCATTCAATCCATAACACTAAATATGAGGGAAATTCAGAATGAATAGTGTGGAAGAGAGTAGCAGTTGTATTTCCAACATTCACTGCAGCAATGGGGTTGTATGTCATCTTCCTAACTTCCCTCCTCTGATTCTCCTCTCAGGAAGTAATGCCCTGAGAAAAGTAAAGCCCATGGGAACCACAGAAGAGCTGTTCCCTGAACCTGGATGGAAAAGTAGATCTACATAGTTCATGGGGTGAACTGTGGCAGCCATGAAAATGTTTTTCAGACCTTCAACTACTGGGATCAATATTGGCCAAGGGCCACAGCTGCTACACTCTAAAATTCATCACAGTGAGGCCACTTTTCCCTTCAGCTGCTCCCAGTCAGTGACTGAGCTTGGCAGGGATACTAAGGCTTGACCTTTCCTGAGAGATGCGGGATTCCTCTGATGATCAGCTTTGACTTGAGGACTTCTCAAGGGTCTTGCTAAACTTTCCTTTGGTTATGCATCGACCTAGGCGCTTCCACCCAGCCTTACTTTCCTCTCTCCTTTACTCAGGGTCAGCCTTTGTGTTCTGATGGCTCTTCCAGCTTTACCTGGCATTATCTCTCTTGAATTTTTTCTCTGATAAAATCTTTGCACTTTTAATTCTGTCTTGGCACCTACTTCTCAGAGGACATGGACTGACACAGGGACATATCAAAATTCTCTTTGATTTCCATTAGGACCTCTAAATAATCTCACGATGTATATAGCAAATAAGAAAAAGGAAGCAGAACAGAAAACATTCTTACACATAAAAAAATTATCAGGAATATATATACTGAAACTATATATACTGAAAACCTAAGGCACTTCACTGCTAACCAGAAGGCTGGAGGTGCAAACCCACCAGCCACTCCTCGGAAGGAAGGTTGGGCAATCTACTTCTGTAGTGATACTGTCTCAGAAACCCAAGGAGGGGTCTCTGTGAGTTGGGTCTGACTCAACGGCACATAACACAACATATACCGAAACAGTGATTAACTCCCAGGCATGGAATTTCAGGTGACTTATTTTCTTTATTACTTTCTTTTATGCTTTTCCAATTTTTAATTTGGAAATTTAAATTTTTAATTGCAGTCAAGTGCCTAAGGCACCTGACTGCTAACCAGAAGGCTGGCAGTTCAAACCCACCAGCCAGTCCTCAGAAGAAAAGTTGGGCAATCTACTTCTATAGTGATAACACCTCGGAAACCAAAGGAGGGGTCACTATGAGTCAGGTCCGACTCCATGGCACATAACAACAACAACAACAACAACAATTTTTAATAGAGCATTATTATATTCTACAACTATGAGAATTATTTTATTTTACAAATTGGTACATAAAAGTCTTTATATATATAATCACGCTTTTCTCTAGAATGACTGATAAAATGAAATGGAACCCACCTCTCATAGCTTTGCTAAGCTCATTGACTGTCTCAGTGAAGACTCCAAAACAAAAAATGACAATCCTCGTGCACACTGATATGATAGGTGTTCTTGGCCCTGTCCTTTATGCCATGCTTTCAGCACTGCCTGTCTATGTGGGAACTAAACCTCTCAAGATGCATTGTATCACTGCCAGACTTCCCTCCTCCTGCCACCAGCTATATTGCAATTCTTGTGGACTGGTTTTATAACCTGTACATTAGATAGCAGTAGGAGAAGTGGTACCAATAGGTGAGTGATCTAGGCTTGGTAATCACACATGCTTCCCCAACCACACAACCCCAGGACCTGCAGACGCACTCAGGTGGGGCAGATGAAGGAGAGAAGCAAGTCCACCTCGTTGTGAACAATGAGCCACCCTGGGTGGATGCTGTCTGGCAGGGCCAGGCTGGAGGTCATTTCCCAGGCATCCACAAAGGCCACACGGAGGTCAGCAAAGGCAGCTCGGAGGAGCCGGTTCACCTGGAGGGTGAACCAGTCACTGCCATACACAGACTTGTAGCCAGTGTTGGCCAGCTTGATGACCACAAGAGTGCTGGGTTCCCGAGCTAGCAGTGCAACCACAGCTGCCCGGATCCCTGCCAGTCGTTGGACAAAGATGGATGGAGGGAAGGTGGTAAAGTGAGCTCCAAGACCCAGCACCACCACAGTGTGGGGGCCCCCAGCTAAGCCCCCCAGCTCCCGGGCCACAGAGTGCAGGGAGGCCACTGGGGTGCGGAGAGAGCGTAATGGCCAGCTGTGGGCTCGCCAGTGCAGCACTATGCCCCGAGTGGTCTCCACCGCCATCAAGGGTCCGGTCTGATACATGGCATGTAGATCCACTGGCTTCAGGGCTGTAGTGACGACAAGAGAGGAGGGTTAGGGGTTAATACAGGATTGTACTTCCTCAGTTAAGAATACAAACGATGTAGCATAACTTCTCTTCTCAGACACAAGTATCCTGTGGCCCAACTGCCTGATTTTTTTCTCTCCAATCTCCAGTATTACCAGTGGCCTGATTACCACATCTGAAAACCTGTTCTCAGTCCTTCTCCTTGGCCCTTCTGTACATTTGCATCATTGATTTTCTTTTGAAACCCATTCCTTCTCTATGGGTAGGGCACCACTGTCTACAGCCTCCTTTCTATAGAGCCCTCTGGCCTGAGTCCATCCACTGGTTCCCTCCAGCATCCCTGGCTAAAGATGTGCCCCAGGCTGGAGGCCAAGTGTTGTCCAGTTTACATTGTGCTCAGTGGTGGCCAGATGTGGGGGCTAGCAGGCCTGAAATCCAGCCTGCTTTCATCTGCCCTGACAAAGAGCAGATCTATCAACAGGAAAAGCCCTTTCATTGCACAAAGATTCTTTTGCTTGCCCCCATGGCATGTTCTCACATGTGTGGAAGGAAGAGGGTTACATTTTTCTAATTCACACAAAGCCACCATGAGATGCTGGTTTTTCCCAACTTTCTTTTTTTTTTTTCCCCAACTCTTTTTGTCATGAGCTTCCATCTGTTTTAATAAACATCTCTTGGTTGGGGAACTCATCCATTCTACCACGCCATGAACAGAATTGTCCTAAAGTGACCCTGGGAGCTCACTTCAGGTTACCCAAGCATTGCCTGCACATTGAAGCCGTGGTATTTTCAATCGCCTCAAATGCATGTGAGAGCTGGACAACGAATAAGGAAGATCACAGAAGAAGTGATGCATTTGAATTGTAGTGTTGGCAAAGGATATTGAATATACCATGGACTGGTAGAAGAACCAACAAATCTATATTGGAGGAAGTACAGCCACAGTGCTCCTCAGAAGTGAGAATGGGCAGATTTTGTCTCTCGTCCTTGGTCACGTTGTCAGAAGGGACTAGTCCCTGGAGAAGGCCATCATGCTTGGTAAAGTAGTGGTCAATGAAAAAGGGTAAGACCCTCAACAAGGTGGATTGACACAGTGGCTTTGACAATGGGCTCAAGCATAGCAAAGATTGTGAGAATGGCACAGGACTGGGCCGTGTTTTGTTCTGTTGTACGTCGGGTTGCTATGAGTTGGAACTGATTCAATGGCACATAACAACAGCAAACTCTGAATTAGCTAGAACTAAGGTACTTCCTCTTTCTCACAAAGGGAGCGGCTGCACCCAGGCTGATTCTCCTATGAGACTGGGGGCTTCTTTCACTCAAGCAGAATGATATTCAGGTCCCTCAAGCAGGAGGGTATTCATCATCCCAAGGTCACCAGGAAGGTGCTGCAGGTGTTTTTAGATAATTGCTGTAAACAAATAAAAAACCAAACCTACAGCCATCGAGTTAATTCTGACTCATAGTGACTGTAGGACAGAGTAGACCTGCCCCATAGGGTTTCCAAGGCTGTAAATCTTTATAGAAGCAGACTGCCTCATCTTTCTTCAGCAGAACAGCTGGTGGGTTCAAACTGCCTACTTTTTGGTTAGCAGCCGAAAGCTTTAACCACTACACCACCAGGGCTCTTTTCCTGTAAACAAAGGGCAGTACAATTCATTCTCACCTCTTTTTACTTATGTCATCAGAGGAATAAATACTAAGATGCCCCCAGCTCTGAAATCTCATTTCAACTCTAATCCCATGTCTTCAAGTGGCTCAAACACATGTAGATGCTCTTTTCACATCTTCAGCTCAGAATAAAAAGGTGTAAAATAAATAAACCATCATCTCCCAAGTTCATCTTCTAAGTTATCTGGTCATCTTACTTTGTTCTAAAACCAATCAGTCAACAAATTCTGTCAATTCTTCCAGTCTACTACCTAGTTTGAAAAACCGTGGTGGTGCAGGGATTAAAGCTCTTGGCTGCTAACCAAAAGGTCAGTAGTTCCATCAGCCACTCCCCGGGAGAAAGATGAGGCCATGTGCCTTTGTAAAGATTTACAGCCTTGGAAATGCTTTGGGGAGTTCTGCTCCATTCTGTTGGGATGAGATGCTATGAGTCAGAATCAACTCTGGCAGTGTTTTTTCTTTTTCTTTTTTTTTTTAAGTACTTAATTTATTTTTGGTTAATTTATGAATGACACAATTTCTTTACCAGTATAACCTCTCATCACTTAACATGTTGACTGTACAATTAATTATCTTGTTCTTTTTCAATCTAATCTGTCCAATAAACTGAAAACTTTGCTTAAAAATATTTGTTGTTGTTGTTGTTTTGTGCCGTCGAGTCAGACCTGACTCATAGCAACCCCTCCTTGGGTTTCTGAGGCAGTATCACTACAGAAGTAGATTGCCCAACCTTCCTTCCGAGGAGTGGCTGGTGGGTTTGACCCGCAAGCCTTCTGATTAGCAGTCAAATGCCTTAGGCACTATGCCACCAGAGCTCCTCTAAAAATATTTGGTATCTCCCAATTGCCACAAGATAAACCCTAAACTCTGGTTTATCTGAAATTCCTTTCTTAAATCCAACTCTGTTTCTACAGTAATCTCAAGCAAATCCTCACTTCCAGCCAAGTTTATCTACTCACTCTTCTTCAAACACACCTGCCCTCCTGTGAGATTCCCCTCATCATCCACTTAATTGTTGAGGCTATGCACTCTGTTTCCAAGCCCTGACCCTCACCCCACATCATGCTACTAAAATCCAGGCATTTTGCCCCATTGACAAGATAGATATTTTCTTCCGTCTCAGAACCCTGGCTCTCCTCTACATCTATTAGATGTTCTGCCCCCTCCCCTCACAGCCACCTACAGGGCACAGTGTCACGCAGATACTCCCACCATTGGCGAAGCGTAGAGTCCCCCATCATGTGGATGATATGGCCGGTAAGGCAGTCCAGGATGTTGTCAGCAGTGGAGAAGGAGTGGCTGGAGCAGGATAGTGAGTGCCATACACCTCGGTGGTAGAAGCCAGAGGGCTTTGGGGCTGGGATCCCAGGGTGGCACAGTTGTTGGGGGGATAGAACTGAAAGCAATGGTTTGTAAGCAAAACAGTTAATGGATACAGAAAAGGCTAATGCCCTAGTGCAACAACAGCACACCTCCATGGAGTCAGATCTGACTCATAGCGACCCCCCCTTGGGTTTCTGAGGCGGTATCACTACAGAAGTAGATTGCCCACCCTCCCTTCCGAGGAGTGGCTGGTGGGTTTGAACTGCCTGCCTTCTTGTTAGCGGTCAGATGCCTTAGGCACTAGGCATGGGTAAGTGCTGCCCTTTTGACAAGCCCCAGCTTCACTTACCCAGACTCCTGTTGCTCTCCTTGTCCACCCAGAGTGGAGAAATACCCTGAGGGAGCTCTTTGTCTGTCACATTCCTGAAGAAAAACCAATCGAGAGAGGAGCCCTTAATGGAAGTGTGTTAGGGCAAGGGATGCTTGGCTAAGGTGAAATGCGGCTTCTTGGTGGAAAGGGAGGTCTCAGAGTCAAGGGTTTCAGTCCTAGTCTGGAGGACACTGAGGGCTTAGGGACAGAAAAGGGATTAGAAACTGGAATTCAGAGGTCCAGGTTCTTTGTATTTTCTTGCCTCTTCGATTTTATCAGTGCAGAAAGCAGAAGATGCTTGAGGACTTTTCTAGTCTTAATTCTCCTGGTAGCCTCTCTAAGCCTAGTCTAGTCAGGCTTTCACTCCCTGTAGCCCACAGAATTGGCTGGATCCAATGCCGGTTCTCAATCCTTATCTTTCCTGTCCACCATCAGCATCTGGCCCCACTGATCACTTCCTCATCCCTGATACAGAGTTCACTTGGCTTCCAGGATACCTCACTCTCCCAGAGAAGTCCCATCTTACTGGTTGCTCCTTCTCAGTCTCTTTTCATGATTCCTCTCCTTCTCTCCCATCTTGTTCTGTTGAAACATGCCAAGATCAGTTGTCCATTTTCTATTTACACTCACCCCCTTGGTGGTCTCACTCAGCCTCCTCACTGTAACTTCCACATTCACATCTCCAGCCCAGAGCTTTCTACCAAATTCCAAATTTGTGTATATAACTATTTGCTCAACATTTCCACTTCATGTCCAACATGAATGACCAAACCTGGGCTCCTGATCACCTCCACTTGCCCCACGTATAGTGTGATAGTTGGAGCTGTGCGTCAACTTGGCTGGACCACAGTTCTGTGGTTTAAGCAATTGTTATGTGGGTTGTTCCAATGATGGGATCAGATGTGTATGTTTTGAGCAGCCAATCCATTGAAAGGGAATTTCCCTAGGGGTGTGGCCTCCTTCCAGTATGTTTATGGACATCCTGGGAAAAGACACACTCTTCTGTGGATTGGGATTCTGTTGTGCTGCCTACAACTGTCCATGAGGGAACAACCCACCATTCAGCCTGGAGATCTTGGATTCATCATTTGTTGGAGTCAACAGCCAGTATACTGCCTGCCAACCTTGAGCTCCTCAGCCCCTGCAGCTGAGTGAGTCAGGAAAAGCCCCCAGCTTGACACTTGATCCAAGAACTTTGGACTCGCCAGCTTCTATAAGGGTGTGAGATAAATTTCTCTTTCTCTCTATATATAAGCTTTACTGGCTTTGCTTCTCTAGAGAACACAGTCTAACACATATAGCTTTCTCTATTTAATCCAGTGGCAACTCCATCCTTCCCATTGATCAGGCCCCAAACTCTGCAGCCATCTGTGAGTTGTCTCTTTTTGTTACAGTCCATGTTTGGTCTATCAGGAAAGCCCATTTACTCTGCTTTCAGACTTTCTCCAGAAATGAATCACTTTAAATAACTTCCACTACTATCACCTGAGCCCAAGCCACCATCATCTTTTGCCTGATTAGTGAAGAGCATCCTACCTTTAGGTCTTCCTGACTCTCCTTAACTTTCTGTAGTCCATTCTCAACACAGTATTCTGAATAACTCCTTTAAAATATAGATGAAACAATGTGTAATGCAGTGAATTACTTAATGTGGCCCTTTTAGCCATAGTCTTTGTAAGTCCTACCAAATGACTGTTGTTGTTATGTGCCATCTAGTCAGACCCGACTCATAGCAACCCTTCCTTGGGTTTCTGAGGTGGTATCACTATGGGGGTAGATTGCCCAACCTTCCTTCCGAGGAGTGGCTGGTGGGTTTGAACCGCCAGCCTTCTGGTTAGCAGTCAAGTGCCTTAGGTACTATGCTACCAGAGCTCCTACCAAATGACCAGATGGGGCTATGCAAATGTGGTGCATATTCCCACAAAAGGGATTGGATAGCTTGCTAATGATGTAAATAAGATGCAGTGCACTCTTGTGGGGGTGAGACCATGAAAATAAGGTATATGGAAGTCTAGTGTGGGGATTGGTCAGTTTTGTCATCCTGCTAGGCTTGGAATGAGCCATCCCAGAGGCAGAAAGGGATCCTGACTGCCACCAAGAAGAAGAGACGAGTGGAGTGCATCCTTCGGATCCAGGATCCCTGTGCTGGAAACCTCCTCAACCCAGGAAACAGAGAGAGCTGTAACAGCGGAGAGATGACAAGAGACAGTGAGAAGCAGTGGCAGAGACAGTGACAGCAGAGACAGAAGGCCCAGGAGACTGGTGGGCACAACCAGCAGAATGGCTGGGTGGCATTCTTAATTTCCAATTCAGTGGAATCATTATTGTGTCTCTAGGTGGCAGTGTTCCTCCCTTTGGGACTAAGACCTCCAGACCTGTAGTGCATAGGATTGCAGGGACAGGAAGCAAAAATCTTTTCAATGGGTTACTAGGGGTAATAGTGAGTGGTGTCACTCCCATTTCTACCCCTTGGTTCCTGAACCCATGAATCCTGGCTATTGGGGAAATGGTATCATATAGACACTGGTTTAGAACATATACAGCTTCTGGAGAACATTGTCCCAACCCTGCAAGGTATTGTGGCATAGCTGGTGGCATAATTATGTTTTCAGAAGGCCATTCCATCTTCTGTCAAGGCAGCTGCTTCAGGATGATGGGGAACATGGTAAGACCAGTGAATTCCATAAGCATAGGTCCATTGCCACTCTTCATTTGCTGTAAAGTGAGTCCCTTGATCTGAGGTGATGCTGTGTGGGATACCATGATGGTGGATAATGCAGTCTCTAGTCCAAGGATGGTAGTTTTGGCAGAAGCATTGCATGCAGGGAAGGCAAATCTGTATTCAGAGTAAGTGTCTCTTCCAGTAAGAACAAAATGCTGCCCTTTCCATGATGGAAGTGGGCCAATATCATCAACCTAACATCAGATTGCTGGCTCATCACTCTGAGGAATGGTTCCAAATCATGGACTTCCCAGTTCATGGAGTGAGAAAGCTGAGCGCCTTTGGACAGAAGCCTTGCTGGCAGAATAGGATGCCTCTGGGTACCTGGTAGAGCTAGGTTTGCCAACCCATGAAGGTAGAGCTGAGTGCCTTCAGGTCAAGGCTTACTGGCAGAGTGGGTGCCTCCAGGCACTTATTGGTAGAGCTAAAAGAGCTTTGTAACACTTGCCTAAGCAGGCAGAGGTCAAGGGGCCACAGGGCTCAGAGTCCAAGGACCAAAGAGAGGCATGTCTACCAGCATTGCTAAGAGGCTGTACTGATCAAATAACTGTATTCTGAGTCATTTCTGATCCTGAATTATAACCTGTTCCTTTCCTAATAAACCCTGTAATGGTAAATATTTTGTGTGAGTCTTGTGTGGCCATTGTAATGAATTATCAAACTTAGCAGAGAAGTAGAGAGTGCCACAAAGGGCATAGTTGGTGTCAGAATTGGTTAAAAGGTTGAAAGGTGAAGGCATGTCTGACATCCACCTCATAGGAATCAGGCTTGTGCTGTTGATCTTGATTCTTCTTCCCCTTTGTGAAGTTAGAGGACGTGAGACACTTCCCCCACAGTATGCTATTTTTACAATTGGTGTCAGAAGCAGGATTTATTACAATGGCTCCAGCCTCATGGAAGCATGGGACTTTGTAAGAGAAAGAATGAAGGGGTGTGGGATGTGAAAATTTTGGTTCTTAGGTGGTTACCTTAGTTGTTTTCTATAATGTGGGAAAGGAAAGTAAGAGATGTTATGCTGCAGCTGAGGAGACAAAAGCTTCATCTGGAGCAAAAGCCAGGCTGATTAAACAAGAGACTGATAGGGGGTCAGTGTCTACTGGTTCCATCCATCAAGAGGCCCAAGGCTCTGTGTGGAGAAGAGAGGATGAAACTGAAATGTTTTTAAAAAGGGGTTATGTGCTTATCTGAATGTACTATGAATGTTTTTCCACCTAGTGTTGTAACATATACCTAGAAGTATGATAGAAATGAATATTGAGTAATGTAGATCACAGAAAATGTGTAACTCAACCTTTAGCCATTACTTGATTGGATATGCAAAAGGGGAAACTAGGATTTTCCTGGAAGAAACACAGGGTTTTCCTTCAAGCCAGTGGTCCTGTGTATAGAATATTGGGAGCTTAGGTCAAAACCCTGATCCCCATCCAGTAAATTTGCATTTGAAAAGACATGCAGACCCACTCAGGACTACTGAGATTGGGAGATGTTTTATTTGAAGGCAGGACCTACAGGAAAAAAAAAAAAAAAGCGGACTGTTTTGCTTTTTTGAATTTCAAGCAAGCAATTTGCTATAATAAGATGCAGCCAGGCAGGAAAAGCCAGTGCCCATAAGAAGAACCTCTTTCTAGGACTGGAAGTTAAAGGCAGCCAGCAAGTAGACAGCCTGATATGCTCACTTGTGGTGATAATCTGCACCCATTTGATGAGTGGAAGTGAGGGAGGTGCAGCAATGAAGAGATGGGCTGAGTTTGGACATGTTCCATTGGTGCCCATTGACCTAGCTTATGGGAGCTAGGGATGAGAGAGAGAAAGAAATAGCTGGCTGGTCTGAAGTGCAGGGAGGGAGTTGTGTGAGCACCTGAGCCTATGGGTGATGCCCATTGACTTAGCTTGGGTGGCTAGGGATAAGCTGACCAGAACATGACCAAATGAAGAGAAAGATGTTTGATGCCATGAGCTGGTTAAATTGTGGCAATTTGACGGCGTGCTCTGGACTGGACTTTGCTTATGGATGCAATGCTCAAAGTTCCAATCAGAGTAGAAGATTCTCAGACCAAGGAACATACTTGTCTCCTCAGAGTACTGGTTTGATAGGGACAGGCAATTTAAACATTGGCTATGTAAAATGGAGAGGTGGGGGGGAGATAAAGACATGAAGTGGCTGGGTTACATGCTTTTATGAGTGTGCCTACACCCAAAATGGGTCTGGGGAAGCCAGAGTGGGAAAGATGCTGATAGGATTACATGATTCTGCTATGAGTGTTGATTGTTATTGTAAAAGCTATAATTGAAAAAGCTGTAACTGTGAAAGAGTGGGCTAAAGGGGAAGACTACTGAACTGGGGTACAGTGGCTGAACCTAAAGTCCCTTAAAGGTTTTGCTATGCTGATTATCTTGTGAGGCTCAGAGCAAGGCAATAATCATCTCTCAGTTAAATTTTAGAGGCCAGAAAGGATGAAACCAAGATGACTTTTGGAGAACCTGGCCAGACCAGATGGACCCCTTCAGCAGACCTGAATGGCTGGTATCTGAGTAACCTCATCCTGAGGACTCTGTCCTACTGAAGGACCACTGGTTGATAACTGTTTTAGACTGGGATTGGGAGGGAGAAGTTAATCCTTCAAGTATGAAAGGGTCAATGGCTAGAAGAACCAGAGGGTGGCCTGTAATTCATTGTAGTCTGTGGTGCAGTGAATTACTTGATGTGGCTCTTCTAGCTATAGTCTTTGTAACTCCTACCAAATGACTTGGTAGCACTCTGCATATATTGTGCCTGTTGCCTATCAAGGGGATTGGATAGCTTGCTAATAAATATAAGTAGGGTCCCTGACCCTTGTGGGGGTGGGACCATGCAAATAAGGTATATGGAAACCTAATGTGGAGATTGGTCAGTTTGGGCATCCTATTAGTCTTAAAATGAGCCATCCCAGAGGCAGAAAGAGATGGGACTACCACCAAGAAGAAGAGATGGAACCAGAGCATGTCCTTCTAGTTCCTTGTGTTTTGCCTCAGTCCTTAAAAGCTTTCAAGCAGATAGATATCCAGGGCACAATTGGTCCCTGTTCACCAGGAACAACAAAGGAAGAAGGAAAATCAGGAATAGGAGGAGGATATGGAATGTGTAGCTAATTGCCTCCATGAGCAATTGCCTTCTTTGCCATGAGGCCAGAACTGGATGGTGCCCAGCTACCATCACTGAACATTCTGATACAAGATTCTATAGAAGAGTTTCAGAACAGAATTTCAAATTCTCATGGACTCCAGACCTTCTGGAGCCATGAAGTTGGATGAACCCCTGAAACTATTGCCCTGAGATAATCTTTAAACCTTAAACCAAAAATATCCCCTGAAGTCTTCTTAAAACCAAACAGTAGTTTAGCTTAAATAGTGAAAAATGTCTGCTTGAGCATTGAAAACAAAACAAAACTCACTGCTATCGAGTTGATTTGCAACTCATAGCGACCCCCATTGGGTTTCTGAGGCAGTAAATCTTTACGGAAGTAGATTGCCCAGTCTTCTTCTTTAGAGTGGCTGGTGGGTTTGAACCACCAACCTTCTGGTTAGCAGTCAAATGCCTTAGAACCTGCGCCACCAGGGCTCCTTATGCTTGAGCATGACGCTCTTTCAAACACTATCTATATGGGATCAAATTGACGACAGCAACTCTGAAGATTAGATCGGAACGTTAGGGGCAAAAAAGTGAATTTATGTTAATGAGAAAGACAATTCAGAAAAGGAGGGTAAGAATGACTGTACATGTCAAAGAATGTGGTCAGTGCCATTGAGTTGTACACGTGGAAAATGTTGGATTGGTGTATGTTTTGCTGTGTATATTCTCAACAACAACAAAAATAAATAAAATTAAAAAACCATCATTGACAATTACAAAAAAAGATTGTATGTTTAAAGTAATTTGTTAAAAATTATGTCAAAAGTTCCCATTCTAAGTGTGAGGTCAAACTAAGGGCTCCCCTGCTCCCCAGAACAGGTCTTGTGGTCAGAATCTCATATGAAGGATTTTTGCTCTCTGGAACAAGGCACAGTGTCTCTGAAGTTGGATGTGGGTTCAAATCTTACTAACCCTCAGAACTTCAGACTTTCCATTAATGAAACAGAGATAATCATACCCATTTAGCAGTTTGGTGGCTGTCCTGTGATATGTTCTCAAGTGTCGTTCAGTGTCTTACCTCCACAACAAAATATCCTGACTACAACCATCTTTTTCCAAATGGCTTCTGTGACCTGCAGTGTCACACACTTCCTCTTGCTAAAGCCAGGGTCACTTTTGATCCTTCCTTCTGCCCTTGTTCCCATAGTCAGTCGGTTCCCTAGCTCTGTGTATTCTCCCTCTTCACACTTCCTTGTCTGCTCCTGCAGTACCACATCCACCACCACCACCCAAGTCCAAGCCACCATCATCTGTCTCCGTTGTGGCCTTCCCACTTCCGGTCTTGCCCCTCAAGTCCAGTCTCCACATTGCAGCCAGAGCCAGATGAACCAAATGCAAATCTGATCTTAAAGCTTCAAGTGCTTCATGGTTGTCCATTGCCTTCAGGAGAGTGCCCAAATTCCTTAGTACTAGGCACAGGGCTCTCCAGTATCTGACCCATACCTGCCTCTCAATTGTTCAATTGTCCCCCTGTCCCTGAAATCTGTATGCAGCAGCCAGAACATTCTCTGTTCTCTCATTTCTACTGCACTGCCCTCACTATTCTCTGGGTTTCAGAAGTCCTTGCTTCTCACACACTTTTCTCAACTCCTGGTTCTTCTTCATGCTTCAGCTTAATTGTCACCTGCCTTGACCAACAGGCCACACTGAGTGCCTATGTGTCCTCACACTACTCAGTACTTATTCAGCACTCACCACATTGCATGTGTGCTCCCTCACTACACTGAAAACTTATCAAAAGCAGGGAGGCCAATAATTATCTATAAATAGCACTTAGTGTAAGGCCTGGCATACAGTACATGCTCAAAACCAAACCAAACCACACTCATTGCCATCTAGTTTATTTTGACTCACAGCAACCCTAAAGGACAGAGGACAACTGCCCCATAGGGTTTCTAACGCTGTAAATCTTTACAGAAGCAGACTGTTTTATCTTTCTCCTGCCAAATGGCTGGTGGGTTTCAACTGCTGACCTTTTGGTTAGGGGCTAATGCTTTAACTGCTGTGCCACCAGAGCTTCTTACAGTAGATGCTCAGGAAATATAAATTTAGAAGTAACTAGATGAGGAGCTCTAGTGGCGTAGTGATATGGCACTTGACTGCTAACCAGAAGGTCAGTGGTTCAAACCTGTCAGCTGCTCTGCAGAAGGATGATGGGGCAACCTACTTCCGTAAAGATTTACAGCCTTGGAAACCCAAATGGGGGTCGCTATGAGTCAGAAACAACTCAATGGCAGTCTTTCTGTTTTTTAAGATGAGAAGCTCTGGTGGTGCAGTGCTTAAGGCTTTTGACTGCTAACCGGAAGATTGCCAGTGCAAACCCACCAGCCACTCTGTGGAAAGAAGATGGGGCAATCTACTTTCATAAAGATTTATCATGCAATGGGGGTCGGATGGCAGTGGGTTTTGTTTGGTTCATTTACATGAATGATAAGGGTAGGATTTCAGGCAGAACAGTTATAGGGCCGGGATTCAGGGATTGGGCAGGCATCTGAGATGATGCTAGGTTTCTTACCAAGCCATCAAAGCCTCATCGTGTGGTGTGGTCACATTCCAGTAATGTCCACTTGAATGTTCTACCAGTGAATCACAGGGTAGGGTCGGTGGCCGAGCGCAGAACCAGAGCTCACCCGAATCTTCATCCCTATAGTGACAGGTAGACTCTTCCTCCCCAATTAACAGTGGGTTAACATTGCATGTCGCACTTTCTTCATATCCCGTGGGTCCCCGGAAATAACCCGTGAAATCAACGGTGGCCCATTGGTCTCTCCAGATTCTCTGCAGAACCCCAACTGCCTCGCTTGAATGGATCAGCCGCACTTGCACCTGGGCCTGCCCAGCCCAGAGCAGAGGGAAGGACAGCAGGTAGGTGCCATTCCCCAGGTCCTGGATATCCCCAGGGACCCCTGCCTTCAGGTTGGGACCCAGCAGCCGTGCCCTAAACAGATCCCCACCATGGCTCTTGGGCCTGCCCCGGTGGTCCCTGGCCACAAGGATGCCCTCCAGGTAGCTTCCCAGGGCATAGCTGGCCTGGGCAGGACCTCTTAGGTGGTAGGTGGAGGTCTGGGGACTAGTGGAGGACAAAAGGTCCCCGTCATCCCTCGAGGTTGGAGACCAGTGCAGAAGATGGGTTGGGTCCAAGAGCTGCTGAGGAAGAGAGCCAGAGGGCTTGCAGGCAGAGCAGGGTCCTGGAGGTGGAGGGGTGGTGCTGCCAGGCCAGGAAATCCTGAAGTACAAGAGCTGTGAGTAGAGAAAGAGGAATCTGTAGGTGGTTTGTGTCCCTTCATTTTCCTTCTGGGAAAGAATTTTCAGTTTAGTAAACTTAGTTCTCCTATTGAAGGAGCTCTGGTAGCATAGTGCCTGAGGCATTTGACCGTGAACCAGAAGGCTGGCAGTTCAAACCCACCAGCCACTCCTCGGAAGGAAGGTTGGGCATTCTACTTCCATAGGATACCTCCTTGGAAACCCATGGAGGGGTTGCTATGAGTCGGGGCCAACTTGATGGCACATAACAACAACAACAACAGTTCTCCTATGTCTGATAGGTCTCCGAGGGGAGTCCTACCCTGCCTGCCTCATGCTGTCTCTGACCCAAAGCCTGGTGTCTGAGCCACCACCACACACATGTCCCAGTACCAGCTCACATTTAAAACTGCGTATCTGTAGGTTTTGCTAAATCCAAGAGAATTAATGGCATCTCCATTAATTTGCCCCATCATCTGCTCACCTCTGGTACATACACTATCATTGCCACCAGATGGAGTCTAGGCTTGGACCCAACAACCCCCCCCCCCCCAGGCTCTAGTTTACTCCACGTCTTACAAATCTTGCTTCTCTCCTTGGTTTCCAAAACCCTGGGTAAATGTTCCCTCCTTCCTCCTATTCCCTCTTTCCCCAGGCCACCTCCACCATCTATGTCCTGGATTTAGAGTGAGGGGTTTCTTTTCACACAGAAGGAGCTAGAAACCACCTACTAGAGGGTAGACACAGATTGACTTGGGTAAAGGGAAGATGATATACAGTAAGAGGAAGGTCAGCACAAACTGATTAAGGAAAGGAAGACGCTGGGAGGCACACAAGAGTCACCAACAACAGAGGTAGGTACGAGTCACACACGATTCTGCAATAACAGTAATAACAATCATCAATTTGTCAGAAAGCCACTTATAGTGGCTAAAAACAAGCTGAACTTCCCTTTAAGGTGGAACCATTTGGTTGTTGAGGTGAAGTGAAGAGGTCAGAGAACAGATCCTGGGAGAGAGCAGAACTTGTAGGGACCAGAAGGATGCAGGAAGGGAACACAGATTCAAGGAAGGGTGGCCTAAGCTTCTCTCTATAGTCATATCAAGAAATGCTACCTTTTGGGGTAATCTTTTCCTCCTGCCAGGTTCCAATCCCCAAGAGATACAAGGAGGCACTGAAGGCTTGTGTGTATTCTGTTCAGAGTTAAAACCAAACTCACTGCCATCGAGTCGATCCCAACTCATAGTGACCACTCCTTGGGTTTCTGAGGTGGTATCTCTATGGAAGTAGATTGCCCAATCTTTCTTCCAAGAAGCGGCTGGTGGGTTTGAACCGCCAGCCTTCTGAGTAGCAGTCAGATGCCTTAGGCACTATGCCATAGCAAATGATGTGCATCTTTTCATGTGTTTGTCGGCCATTTGAATATCCCCTTTGGTGAAATGTCTATTCAAGTCCTTTGCCCATTTTTTGATTGGGTTATTTGTCTATTATTCACAATAGTGAAAAGATGGAAACAACCTAAATGCCCGTCAACAGATGAATGGATAAACTATGGTGCATACACATACGCACAATGGAATACTACACATTAAAGAACAATGATGAATCTACAAAACACCTCATAACATAAATCTAGAGGACATTCTGCTGAGTTAATTTCACTCAGGATCAATCACAAAAGACAAATATTGTATAAGACCATATTGTAAAAAGTCAAGAAAAGGTTTCCACACACAAAAAAATATTCCTTGACGGCAACCAGGGAATGACTCAACACCAGGGAGTATTCAGGCTTAGCAATTCTCTATTGAATCCCTACCTCCTGTTCTCTGATAGAAACTTGAATTGGACTAGAAAATAAGAAAGGAGGTTCAAGTAAATATTGTCAGTTTCACCAGAACTAGTCATATTGTTGTTATTTGCCCTGGAATCAGACCCGACTCACAGTGACCCCTCCGTGGGTTTCCGAAGTGGTCACAACGGAAGTAGATTGCCCAACCTTCCTTCCGAGAAGTGGCTGGTGGGTTTGAACTGCCAGCCTTCTGGCTAGCAGTCAAGTGCCTTATGCACTACGCTACCAGAGCTCCCTGAACTAGTCATAGGAGAAATATATTTATCTCAGGCTAAATTTTGAAACGTCTGAACTAACATACAGAGAAGAGAGCTGTAGAGGCAACTCAGTTTGAAGCCAATTGTTTTTAATCTTAACTATTTGTCCTTTGTAAATACATAGATTTATACCTTTGAGAGGTGTTTTTTTTCCCTTTGTTTTTCTGTTAAATTCTTAGTAAAGCTCTTTATTGTAGAATTTTTTCAGCAGAAGCCAAGGAACAAGGGAATTTCCACATGTGCACCAAGGGAAGAGGGGGAGCAGGGTAACCTCAAGACAAGGCCTGGTGTTCACAGTGGCTTTCTCAATGTTAGGAACTGGGAAAGAGACGTTTGAGCTGGAATAGAAATATAATAACTTGGGGAAAGAGAAAGCATGGACAACTCAGATTTCTAATATCTTTTGGGCCTTTTCTTTGGACTCCCTTAAAGCTACTCCTTCTTCATATCATTTGCTCATTCTCGTTCTAAGAACTTGTCCCACCTTGACACTTCTGCCCCTAGGTTAAAACCAAAAACCAAACTCACTGCCATCATGTTGATTCCAACTACAAGCAGGAAAATTGAATGAGGAAACAGAGAGCTTCCTTTAGCCTCCTTCTCTCAAGTGAAAGCATCCAAATAAGTGATTTAAACTTTGTGGAAGACAGAGATGAGAGAAGAGAGTAATACTCACCCAAATTGTAACGACTGATCCCACAACTACAATCTTGTGCCACTTAAACTGTCTGATGAATAGATCTGTGGGAGCCTGGAGTTGTTTACAAGACATCTGGCATCAAGATCCTAGGTAGAGAATTTTTAAAATCCAACGATGAATCGGAAACAATCTATATAGAAATTGTACACTGATAATAATACATTGATAATGAGCTCCTACTGATAATGGCAGTTTCCGAAATGTCCACTTGAATAATGAAATAATTAAAAGCTATACTCAGCAGTGTTACCCCTGCTCCAACTAACCCTAGTATGTCCAGTTCCTGCCCCAACTCTAGAGATCTTGATAACTGATTCTACAGACTCCCAAACCTGTAAGGATTCCTATACCTTAGTCTCTGGCCTTTGACACATTCAGCCTTCTCTAAAGAGGGGATTCCCTTCCAACAGGACATGGAGTTTGCCAAAGAGAATAGTTACTGGATACTTCTGTTCTTATACCTCAGGTGAAAGAAACAGAAGAAGCAGCACAGTCACTGAGCACAAAATGGAAACCAGAACACTAGGTTGTCTGCTAGTTCTATGCCCAAGGTCTGTGAGGTTCAGGAAAAGCTTCTGGACTTCTCTGTGCCTCATCAGCCACTCATAAGCTTGCTTCAACTCCTGGAATATATCTATAAAATTCAGCAGCAATTCCTAGTAAGTTAGGAATAGAACCCAAATGCTGAGATATAATAAAGACCACTTACCAAAACTCAACAGGAAATAGAAACCCCCAAAATCATTGCATTTTTATTTAAAATAGTTTTAAAGGTTCTAGCAAAAGTTGAAAAAGCAGAAAATGTACAAAAACAATGGTAGAAATATTGACAAAGAAAATATACAACTCTATCTCATTGTTGGTGACATGATTGTATACTCAGCACTCAAGACGCTCTAATTAAAAAAACAACTAGAATTAACAATTCAGTAAGGTACCTGGATATTAGATAAATATACAAATTTACAAATAATTAATAATAAGTATTTAGAATTGGAAATTTTCTTTTTTTTTATTGTGATTTGGGTGAAAATTTACGGAGCAAATTCACTTTCCATATAGCAGTTCACATACACTTTGTCTCATGATATTGACCACAATTCACCACAATGCAACAGCTCCCCTCCCACTTCCTCCTGATAATTACCTCTTCCCTGTGTCCATCCCTCCATGCCCTCCTGCCCCCTTAGCTGTCTCCCTGTGCATACACAGCCCTTCTTTCTCCCGTGATCATTCTCTCCAAGGAGTGTATCTACCTCAGGTAAATGTTCAAGTCATATGCCTGTCTTTTGTTTGGCTGGAAGCCACAGGTGTGGGTTCAATTCCAGACCCGATGGGCAGCTAGGGGCCATAGTCTCAGTGGTTCCACCAGGCTCTATCGGACCAGCAAACCTGGTCCCCTCCCCTTCTTTTTTTTCTCCAAATGATTTTGAGTTTTGTCCACATTGTTCTCCCTCTCTATCCAGGATCTCCTACATAGATCCCCTTCCAAGTGGTTGACATTGGTAGCCAGGCACCATCTAGTTCTTCTGGTCTCATAGTCATATAGGCTGCAGATTGGATGGTGAACCAGTCGCTAGGACTGACTATATCCGTGCATCTTTGGTTTTCTTCAATCTTCTTTGCTCTGGACGAGGAGAGACCCATCGTTGCATCTAGATGACAGCTTGCAAGCTTTTAAGATCCCAGTTGCTACTCGAGAAAGTAGGAGGTGGAACAATGTTTTGTGTAGTATGTTATGCCAATTGAGCTTGATGTCCCCTGCGACTATGGTCCTGAGCCCACAGGTTCAACTACTCAGTCCCTCTGGGTAGCTGGCTGTGACCAAGCAGTGACTACAACCTTGTCCCTTGTCAGCTCTACTATACACCTGGGAATTCAGATCATACACAGAAACTTATAGGACCATTGTCTGCCAACCCTATACATGTTCTTGGGTACACTCCCCACTTCATAGACATACCTACTAGTTCAGCCTGTCCACCCATCTGTCCACCCATCTCTCCACCAGTATACTCATGTTTGCCTTCACTGACAATGCAGTGCTGTATGTGCAAAAGGGTTTGTCTTTGTTGTCTGTACCTCCCATGTACCTTTCTATGTCTTTCTCTTCCTCAATGCCACCATATTGATCAC